TGTTTAGTATTTACTGAAATATATTCACAACAAAACAGGCCTCACACACACAAAAGGAAGAATGTGAATGAATACAGGATCAGTAGTCATTTGATGCTAGTTGATAACAGCCCCACCCTCCTCCCTTACCTCTCCTCTTCTGGTACTTATGCTATGTAGAAAGCTACAGTTAAAGTTAAGTACAAAGACTAAAGTCCTTGGTTTTTCCAAAAAATGGCTCCAAAATCACCCCAAATTTTTATTACATTTTCTGATACATATGAATGTCCTTATGCTGTGTAGAAAGTTTGAGGTGATTCCCACTTCAATTTTTCAAGTTACACCCATTTTAAGAAAACACCAAAATTCTGAAAATTACCCAAGGCTATAGCCCATGGTTTTTTCCAAAAAATGGCTTCGAAATCACCCCAAATTTTTATTACATTTTTTGATACATATTGATGTCCTTATGCTGTGTAGAAAGTTTGAGGTGACTCCAACTTCAATTTTTCAAGCTATGGCCATTTTAAGAAAACCCAAAATTTTCTACTAAAATTTTAATTGGCTATTGCCTTTTTAAGAAATTGACTCAGAAGACACCCCCATCTGTCTAGGTAATAAATCAATTTCTGCTTGTTGATCAACTTTATCTATGAATATAATTAACTGTCACACCCCACAGTAGCTTGTCTATGAGATAAAGATGGAGACTGATGACACCAAAAACTTCTATGAGGTAGAGCAAGAGGTTTCTGAATATGATGGAAAGGATGACTTCCCTCAGCGACCAATAGCTAATCTACAAATACACGATACTATATCCAACATGGGGAAATGCTCTCTTTATATATTGCTTGGAGTGCAAGTCTTCATAATCCTTATCCTTATAATACTACTGGGCATCAATGGTGTTACACTAACACACTTGAATACAGTAGATATGTGTGATAGTACTGGAGCTGGTACTGGAGCTAGTACTGGTGGGCTGACTAACCAGCAAAGCTGCACTGCAGTGCCTAGTACATGGGCTAATGAGTCTGCTGTTAATAGCAGCATGCTTCAAGGACAAATTTCTGAGTTAAAGGATTACATTAGAAATCAGTTGAGTGCTATTGTCAACACTACCAAAGATACTGCATGGAAGGTTGATTCTCTTGGAGGAGCTGCTGATGATCAAATGGCTTACATACAGAACCTCACGGAAAACCTTTTTCAAGTACTTCAAGTGACCGGGAACTCTGCTCAGCAACTTGGGAATATTATTAGTACTCTGTCTAGCATGTCTGATACAGCCATATCAACAGCAGCTCTCATTAACGATATACAGCAGATTGTTAACGAACTACTGGGACTACAGAATGCTTCTTCAATATTTAACTCTATCCAACCAGTCTCTTGTAAGGATATCAAGGCAGTCCTACCTAACAGTCCTTCTGGTTACTATCATGTCAACAGTCGTACCATTTACTGTAATATGGACACACTCTGTAATGCTACTGGAGGATGGACAAGACTAGCATATCTGGATATGACTGATGCTACACAGACCTGTCCTTCTGAATTCAGGTACTACAGCATAGGAGGAGTTAGAGCTTGTGGTCGTACAGTTTTAAACACTGGAAGTTGTAACTCATTACTGCTACCTTCTAATGGAATCACTTATAACAATATATGTGGTAGAGTAACAGGGTATCAATATGGATCATGTGATGCTTTCTCTGGTGGTCCTCATCGTAACGACATTAACTCCCGGTACGTTGATGGTGTTAGTATAACTCGTGGGTCTCCTCGTCAACATATATGGACATTTGCTGCTGGAGTATATCAAACTCGGGTACACAACTCAAACTGTCCCTGTACTTCTGGCACACTGACATCACCAGCTAGCTTTGTTGGTGATAACTACTTCTGTGAATCAGGTAATCCTAACCAGCAATGGGCCCATACACTATACACTGCTGATCCTCTCTGGGACGGTCAGACATGCTCCAGTCTTGAAGCACCTTGTTGTGATGCTCCAGGGTTACCTTGGTTCAGCAGGAACTTCACCACTAGCTCTACACAGGATCTTGAGTTCAGGATTTGTGGTGACTCCAGCACTATTGATGAGGACTCTCCAGTCAGCATGTACGAGATATATGTAATGTAAGAACTAGAACTTGTACTTTCATTACTTGCTACATTTAAAATCCTTTAATTTATAAGTTTTGCTACTTTAAACAGTTAGATTATGCTAATACTATGCTACTTTCCTTTAAGCTGACTTTTTAAAACATATAGCAGTTATTTGGTAATACAGGACACAGTAAATTGGTGTCATTATTATTATTTTGCTATTGTTATTGTTATGATCCACAATGTTAAATAAATTCAAAGTTTATTGATACAATGTATCATGAATGAGAGAAAGGGAGGGAGCTTATCATATGATATGAAATGAATACACTAGCAACAGTTGCACCCATCACAGGACCTTCTTTTACTGTAAACAATTTAAAATGGAGACTGAAGACACTAAGAACTTCTATGAGGTAGAGCAAGAGGTTTCTGAATACGATGGAAAGGATGACTTCCCTCAGCGACCAATAGCTAATCTGCAGTTACACGACTCCATTCCTTCAGGAAGGAAAACTCTCTTTGTTCTCCTTGGAGTACAAGCCTTCATAATCCTTATCCTTATAATACTACTGGGTATTAATGGTGTTACACTAACACACTTGAATACAGTAGATATGTGTGATAGTACTGGAACTAGTACTGGAGCTAGTACTGGTACTGGAGATCTGACCAGCTCTTCACTGCAAAGTCAACTCACTCAAATGAGCAACAACATTAGTCAGCTCTTTAACATGACGAGAGATTCCTTGTGGAAGATCAATGATATTGTAGACTACACTGATGGGTCTGTTAATTCAACTGGTAACATTGCACAGATATTGAAGGTCACTGGAGATTCGGCAGGAATGCTAATGAACGTTGTTAATACACTATCTACCATTGAAGGGAACAGTGTTACCAGTAGTGGAGCTATTAATGATATACTAGTGATTGTCGATCAACTGCTGGGACTACAGAATGCATCTTCTCTATTTAACTCCATCACACCAGTCTCTTGTAAGGATATCAAGGCAGTCCTACCTAACAGTCCTTCTGGTTACTATCATGTTAACAGTCGTACCATTTACTGTAATATGGACACACTCTGTAATGCTACTGGAGGATGGACAAGACTAGGATATCTGGATATGTCTGATGCTACACAGACCTGTCCTTCTGGGTTTTCTTTATACCAGCAATCAGGAGTTAGAGCTTGTGGTAGACCAGTTTTAGCTCATAATTGTGCATCAGTTCAGTTCCCATCTAATGGTATCAGTTATTCTCAGATATGTGGTAGAGTAACAGGATATCAGTGGGGATCAACTGATGCTGTTCGTCCTGGCAATACAGATCACAACAATCTCAATGGTCCTTATGTTGATGGTGTTAGTATTACTCGTGGGTCTCCTCGTCAACATGTCTGGACACTAATGGCTGGAGTGTTTGAAGCAGTCACTAATACTTACTCTAACTG